CGATCCTTATCCTCTTCCAACTCGACCGAGATATTGTCAAGACTAAGCTGTGTAGAAAATTTCATCGCAATCTGACTCTCCTTTCGAAAGTTATCGTGTAAACGGCCGGACGGACACACCGACCGATTTTAGTAGTGTACTCACTTTTTGAGTACACTAACAACTCACTCCATTCATACCTAATCTCAGGTCACGAAAAATAACTCATTGCAGTCAATGTTATATCAATACTTTTATCTCTATTACAACGTATAGTGAACTTCGAGGTTATTATTGAGAATCTTACTATATTTGAAAAATATTTTCTAGTTTCCATCTGCGTTTGAATTTAACGAAAAATTATTAATAACAATAGCCGATAATCTTTACTCATGTCAATATGGTACATTTTTACTTAATTCTGACAAATTACGTACTGATATGAAAGTATCTGAATATACGATGTCAGCATGGACACCTATATTACGTGAACGTTCATTATATTTAAATCCATTTTATACTGACAAATCTGATAAAGTTTTAATACCAAATAATTCATCGCGTCATATTAAATTATGGAAAAATTATTATTGTCGTTATATGCCTGGTTATCGTTCGACATTGGTAAAAAAAAAAAAAAGGAGACGTTCTCTTTTTGTTCTATATTATAAATCATTTTTTAGGATGTTTTAACACAACGTTATACAACGTTACTTAATTTACGTAAAAAATTTACAGATGAATTTAATCATATTCGACAAGATGGTGAACAACAACAACCACCACGAATATTACCTGGTGCACTTTATCAAAGTCCATTGGCAACTACATTAACAAATATTTCAACACAATCGAAATCAAATGTTGCTCAAGCATCAGCAACATTCATGACATAGAATAGAATTTTGTTGTATATAGTTTTTAAACAGTATATCTTTATAAAACAAACAAATTTATGCAATATTTTTGTGTTTTGTTTAATGTGTTTAACGATAATCTCTTGTATGAATATTATTCTCATTTTTTTTTTCAGATCAAATTTGTTTTATAATTAACAACAAATACAAAATGGCCTTAAGCAATGATGAACTTGCTTGCATCTATGCAGCACTTATTTTAGCTGATGATAATGTTGTTATTAAAGGTGATAAAATAGCAGCTATATTAAAAGCAGCTGATTATGAAATTGAATCATATTGGCCTGGTCTTTTTGCTGGTGCATTAGAAGGTGTTCAAGTATCTGATCTTATTAAAAATGTTGGTGCAGCTCCAATGGCTGCCTCAGCTCAAGCAACAACAACAACTACAACAACAGCAGCTGCTGTTGATGATAAGAAAGCAGCTGGTGGTAAAGAAGCACCTAAAAAAGAAGAAAAGAAAGCAGAAAAAGATGATTCAGATGAAGGTGAAGATATGGTATGTTTTTTTTATTTGATTATTATTTTGAATAGATTTAGAATTTTGTTTTTTTTCTTAGGGCTTCGGCTTATTCGACTAAATTTCGAACTTTTAATAACACACATAATAGAACAATCATCCATCGTTTGTTTTTTCTTGTTTGAATCAACGATGTTTATGTGTCTATCGTTTCCGATTTGAAATAAAAAGAAAAAAGAAGATAAAATATCATATCAAATAATTTTGTTTCAAGAAAAAAATAATACATTAAAATTCTATGTATGTAGCTTGTGCTAAATAATGGTGAATATATACGTACACTTAAGAAAAGAACAATAATTGTAGCGAGGAGTTCGCACAAAAATAACATATAACTGCAGCTGATTTTAATAGTTCCTAATAAAAGGTAAGGATTACATCTAGTTAAAGGTTTGCTGTATATATTTAAAAGATTGAATTTTAATTATAAAATTTTGTGTTTTCATTATTTGATTTGAACTGCCTGTCTACAAATCATTACAATAGATTTAGTTTCGATAAATCTCAAATAAAGTGTACTCATAAAATATCTATTAAGATTTTACAGAATCAATATATATACAATAAGTTACACAATTCCAATGGATATATGAAGACATTTTACACGAATAAAAATAACGAACAGCTTCTAGAATTTATGTTTTCGAATTTTTTAATCAACTCCGATATTAAGATGATGACTGACTAAATATGAGCAGGACATTCTAGTTCTACTGAAAGTCGAGACCATCTTGTCTATATCTAGGATTGATTCTTCAGAAGTATGATTATATTTTAGCACATGAAAAATATAAACAGATAAATCTATTATCCATTTCTGAAAATAAGTCGCTTGGGCAGAATGCTTATAACTTTTGAAGAGAAAGTCATAGAGAGCTGCGGTTTTCACTGTTGGATAGAGAACATCAGGGCACATAAGTCTATGTGAAAATCGATGGGTCAATCCATAAAAATACTCGTTATCTGCGTCCTCAAATTTGGATGAAAATTACATCAAATATGCCTATTCTTGAGATTTAACCTCGGTATACAACTGATTCACACATCAGATATACAGTAGATAGTGCCTCTGCATCATTTGAACTCAACAAGATAAAATGTTGAAGTTGTCCTTTTTGAAAGAGAAGGATTTCCTGTGAGAAAAAGGAAATTTCAGATTTCTAAATTTGAAGCTTATTTTAGCGGTTTTCGACAAATTTATTAAAAAGTTATAAACACGTACCTTGTATAACAGATCTTTTTTTACATAGCCTTACGTGCCCTGATGTCCTCTATCCAACGGTGAAAATCCCAGGTCTCTATCATTTTCCTTTCAAAAGTTATAAGNCTACTCTGATCGAGGCCTTCATTTGGACAAAGTTTCAGATGGAAATTCGAAAATATGATTTTGCTGTAGAACTAGGGTCCAGCAGGAAAAATCCACTAAAAATTTGATATCTCTGTCAAATCTCAAAATGGGCACGAATCCTTTGAATGTTTCTCTAATCTAGTGGCCGGCTACCTAGTAGGCAACATATGGGCTCAAAAGCTTTTAATCACTTGGGAACGTTCTCTCGTTAGACACAATTTTTCAAGCAACATTATTTGTAGGAAAGCTATTTTTTGGTCATATTCCACGTATGACCACAATATTTTAACTTTAAGAACCTCATCATACTGAAAGCTAGTACCCGATTGAATTCTATTGTCAATAAAAAATTTATACGACAGGAAAATTGACAAAATAAAAATATATATAAATACATATTGGTGTAGATTATAAAAGTGCCTAAGTTATTATCACTTAACAGTTTTGTGTGTTCTAACAGACTCTACGGCCATTCCAAAATAGTTTTATATACATAATTCGCTTTTATTTCTTCAATTAAAATATAATTTTATATTGTAAATTAATTTATTTTATCAGTATTCAATCTCAATTATCACCTTCGCTTCCACCATCGTCTACAATGTATAAAACTGTACAGCAATATAATGAACTTTTCTTAACACCATTTTTACAAAAACAAAACCAACAAAGTACAAATGATAAGTAAATTAATTATTTTATATTTGAACTAGAAAAATATTATCATGATCTTTTCTAGACAAAAAATATTGAAAGATATTCAAAATAGATCAATACAACAAAACTCTCTACAAATTAATCAAAAAATTAATTCATCAGATGTAGATTCAAATTTATGTATATAATTTATTTGATATATTCAAAAAAAAAGAAAAATCTATTTGTTTTTTCTCTTTTAGCCAATTCATCACATATTTCTCTTGATCAAAGTACAGATAAAAATGATATAAATCAAAAGAAAACAACGAACAATATGAATCAATTAACTGAACATATTTTAAATAATAAATATCCTCGACCAATAATATTACTTGAACGTGTATGTTTCGAAAAATGAACAAAAAAAAACAAAGAAAACCATCAATATTCAAATCAAAGTCAATTCATCTAGTATATAAACAGATAAACTGATTTTCTTGTTATATTTTTCTGATAACGACTTCTCATTGTTTATTTGTTGCAATATTTTTCTATGTGTATATTTTATTGCCGTATTTTATTTGTTATATTCACTTTTCTGTAAACTAACAAGAAAAATAAAGATCAGAATAATGTATAGATAAATAATTCAGTAAATAATTTAATATCAAATATGTGAATTTAAAGAGTTATTAGTATTTTCAATTCTTTGAATATATGAAGAAAAAAAAAATTGTTTGTTAATTAATTCACTTTGCAAAATGGAAACATTTGTATTTCGAGATAATAAAGTTTTCTAGAGTTAATTTTTATATGTTAAGTTACTCTAGATACTCGGAAAAAGTAGAGCTAGAGATTTTTGTTCAGAGAAGTCATTGATAAACAAAGCTAGTGTTAAAAGATATCGACTTTCACTTCATGTATTTTAATTTAAAAAGAATTCCGAATAGAGACAATATTTTTAGAAACTTAACACTATAAAACACTCGATATTTTGTGAATTAATTTTTAATCAATAGTCAATTGAAAAAGTCAGCATGTTAACTTATGTCTATGCTAAAAAGCACTTATTCAAAAACATAAATCTTGTCAAGAATCAATTATTTTATAAACCATATGAATCAGAACATAAAGTCAAGAGAAACGATTGAAAATGTGCTAGTCGTTGAGTAAATAAACAAATAATATAAGTATTTTAAATGTTATACGAATGAATAGTTTTCTCGAGATTGGTATCACAACTTGAAAAACTAAAATCACTGGTATTGAATCAAAACTACATCAGATTTATATGAATTATGACCAGAATTGTTAGATAGAAAAGTTATCGTGACACAAAAAAAAAAAATCTTGATTATACGTATCTCAACTCTTGAATTATGTTCTCATTGATACGACTTATAAGATAATTTACTTTAAAACGTAGAATATTGAACTATAATCTTTAAGTCCTGATCTTGTCTATGTAAATCTTCAAAATTTGCTCCCATACATCTTTAGTACAGATCCAAAAAGTGTTGAACCCGACAGACGCTAGTTTTAACTATCAAAAAGTAAACATATTTATTCACATTCGTCATTTGAATATATCTGTAAAAGTCATCATCATATTACTGATGGAATGAATTTTTGTTTTTTTTGTAAAACAATATTCAAAATATTTCAAAGGTTTGAAACTTTGATTTCATCTTAGAAAGTTTTATTTTCAATATAAGATTGAATTAGATTTGTATGAAATAGTCTAGAAAATTTTTTAGAACCTTATAAATGAAATTTGTTAAAAAAAAAAAAATTAAGAAAAAACAGTCTCAATGTTTTTAAATCCATATAGTTGTCAATAGGTGTTGTATATAGTTAAAATTTTCTTATGTCTAACAACACAAATAATAAGAAAATAGAAAAATATTTTAAGATACCTTCAAAGTTATTAATATTATTATATTTTTCAATATTGGTTTCACTCGTACTACTATTGAGAGACATTGTCACGTTTAATTAGAGCTTTGCATACATCAATCAGTGTATGAATGAAGGTGAAAGTATAGTTAAGGCACAGTTTTATTTCAAATTAATCTCTTGTTTTTTTTTCTTCTTCTCATAATTAGGCTACAGACAGGTAGGTTTATTTTAATATTTTGTCGGTTATTTATTTCTCTTCCGAAGGAATGATTGAAAACTTTGAAAGAACGATTGTCTATTTTTAGAAGTACAGACACATAGTATGTTTTACAATAGTCGTAAACTCCGGGAGGGCTAACCCAATTTTTGGAGCAATGTCACCTCCCTCCTCGGTTCCTACACAAGACAAAACACTACACTCTCTACTCATATTGCACATTTGTTCGCACTACCGCCGGCACATCGGTAGGAGGTTGTCGATCGGAGAATAACTGTTGACATATATATGCGGCAAAATGGCAGTCAGAACATAGCCGATCGTTTAAGTATCAAACTACCGAGAGTTGTTCTTCAGTTTGAATTAATGGCTAGTTACAATACTTAACTACGTTTATTAAACTTAATATATACATGAATAAGTGTTTGAACAAGAACGAGAGTACACTTAAACTGAAATAATATCTATTACATTAGAACTATTTTTCTTTTTTTCTAGATTATTAATATTGATCGTTTAATCATAGAAATGTACTGTTGATATGACTTCAATTTGACTGCATTGTTTATTATTCCCTTACAATAGAATTCGAATTTGCATATCATCTTTCTATATTTAATCTACATAAATTTTTTAACTTAAATGATATGCCTATTCATAATTATACTATGAAAACAAAAGAAAAAAAACGAGAAATGTAATACGAGCCGAGTGAGAAAAATAAAATTTGATTTTAACATTTTTCTTAATTAGTGCTATGTAATCTTAGAAGTATTCTGTTTTTCAAAGCAGTTCTGTCTTTTTTTCTTTTTGTTCTTTTACATATAGTTACCATGTCGATTTTTCTTCTCTTTCGTCGTTGTCTAGTTATAGTTGTTAGAATTTTTCAAACATTTTAAATAATGTTTACTAGAGACGATGATTGTGTGTGTGTGTGCATATCGTCGTCATCGATTTTTTTTCTTCTTTCTTATCAACTCCACTGTTCTGTTTTTATTTTTGCTTTCTTTGTAAACCAAAAAAAACTAAAGAAAAGAAAAATCATGAACGAAGTTTGGTTTGCAACAGCAAAATAGAACGGAAGAAAAAGAAGAATTTCTTCTTTTTTTTTGCTACTGTCCATTAAAGCATCGAATAAACCACGAGAACAATAAGAAAATCAAAAAAAAAACATATATAACAAAAGAAAAAAGTAGAAGAAGAAAGGAGAATCTTGTAATCAAAAACGCACTACATATTCTGGCAAAACTCTTTCAAGGTTTGTAATCTATTTAACATAGAACAATGCAAGTTTGGACACATGAAATTGATGCACATTTGGCTCAAACAGAAGATAGAGCGCAACTTGAAAAACTAGAACAACAAATTTTTCATGAATATAATGAAATTAAAGCAGAGATTGAAGATAATGAATTAAGATATAATCTTACATTTACTCGTCCATTTAGTTCTTATCTTATACCAAAAGATCCCGGACATTTAGGACGTGAACGTCGTCTATATTTTGAACGTCTTGCTCATGTTCGAACTGTTCCTGATGTACTTGTTTTATGTGATGAATTTCGAAATGAATTAGATACATGTACACCAATGAATAGTGATTTTACACCTGAATCATTACCATTATTATTACAAGCATTTTATTTAAAAAGATTATCTTCATTAACATATGCTAAAACTTTACATAGTGTTCGATGGAAACGTTTTTGTCGACAACAAATACAATTTATACAAGTCGAACAACAATTTAATGAAAGATCAGCTAGAATTTTAGCAGAATTTAATGATGCTCTTCAACGATCACAACGATTGAGTACAATGAGAGAAACATTATTAGGACCACCAGTTACTTCATCAAAAAATATAAATCAGGTATTATTATTATTATTATTAGTAGTAGTAGTAGTAGTAATTTCTCATTTTATTTACATTTTTCTTATTTCAATGAAAAAAAAAAAGAAGTAAATAGAGTAGAGAAATCGAGCATACTTAGAACTGTTATTTAATTTATCAAAACAACAAAGAAAAAATTATTCTTTTCTATATTATTTTTCTTTTTCTATTAATGTAAATAATTTTATATCCTCCGGCTATATATTATTGTTATAATGAAATTTGATTGACCTTTTTTCAAAAAAGGTTAAATTAATTTGATTGGTTTTCATCAGATCAGTTGTTTAAATTCTCAGTACAATTTGAAGTATCAAAAGAAAAAAAAAACTTCTGTTATTATGTTCATTTGGACAATAAAATTAATTTTAAACTACAACATAAAGTAAATCTAATTATTACTCTCAAAATAGTGATTATTATACAAGAATTCTTACATAATCTATCAGCATTTTTTATATTTACACAAATCCAATAACTCTTATAATTCTTGAATTTGACTTTTAAACCAAAATTTATGTTAGAACAGTAGCGGATTTAGGGGGGTGGCGATTAGGCGATCGCCTCCCCCTTCCAGAGATTTTTTTTTTTTTTTTTTCTCAGCAAAAACGTATGAACAACTGGTCTTTACTACCTCGCATAAGTCTCAAAAAGTGATTTTTGCCTATAACCACCGCATCTTTCGAAAATCGCCCTTCCCTTCTAAAATTCTAGATCCGCCGCTGTGTTAGAATAAAAGTGAAATAATTAATTATAAGATAAAACTTGTTTTGCCTTTATCTAGATTTATATATGACATATACAAGGTGGGCTATAAATTGAATTATGATAAAAAAAAAAATTAAACATCTCCGTGTCGGTTTAATCAAATAAACTGGTTATTTGGTTAGTGATAGAAATTTATTTAAAGTTTTTTTTTTTTTCATGTGAGTAACCTAAATAAATACTACTATGAAGTTATATTTCTTTGGGTCTCACTACAGAGTATATAGATTATTTTCAGGTATCATCGAAGAGAATAATAAGAAGACATCAAAATGAAATATATTGCCTTGTTTTTTTCAAGGCAGTTTTTGTAGTCGTGAGTTTTACGTATGGAACATCACTTTCAGCATTTAAACTGACTAATTTGGGAAATTCGATCTATGTTGCATTAATATTGTTTGTTTGCATTTCTTCTTATTATTCTCTTTGATGACAAATGAAAATTATCTACGAAATGTTTCATTTGTATTTTTCTTACTTGATAATAGGTGAAATTTTTTTAGTGAAACCTAAAAGTTAGTCCATTTGAGAAAATTGAAGCGAAGATATTTCAATTTTTTATTGTAGTACCATTCATGGCCCACTCTATGTATTTGACTCATGCATCAACATTAAAGAGAGGCGGATATAAGCTCAATAACTCGACAATGGCAACAGTTATTGACTTGCCGTTTTCAGCAATCGAAAGGAGAAAAGTCTGAATATTTTTTTTTGTCTACGAGCAGGTGATCGGAAATTTTTCCGACAAGATGGATGTTTGTTCACTTTTGATCCGTTGAAAAGTATTTCCTATCCATTAGAACCAAAATTTTATGTTTTCTTTTGTTCAAGAGTAGTAAAGGACTTTTTAAGAAGCCTGAAAAATTATTTTTAATGGTGAATCAACAGGTTTTTTTTGCTGACTCTATAATTCCTTTTGGAAATTGCTAAAAGTAATATTTTTTCAATAGTTCCTTTCAATAAAAAATGGTTGTTAATTTTTCAAAAATTTTCTTTTTGATTTTGTAAAGATTATTTCATTGCACTTTAACAACAACTGAGACTAAATTTGTAAGACTATATTCGAAAAGAGCATAAACTCAAAATACTTACATTTTGCCTAAAAATTTTTCGATCATTTGATATTATATGCAAAAAAATTATTTTAAAATCTATCATTTTTACAAGGAAAAAGATACATAACAAGAGTGTTTCGTTTCGATATCTCTCTTTTTTCGAATGTTAAAATCAAAATTTTTCTTTTTCTGATCTTTTGTTTAGCTTCGACATGTCTTCTATCAAATGCCATATAAATGAGGACTCTTCATTGTTACTTCGTACTTTTATTAAACTTAACTCGCTCTACGATTATTCTTTGTATGCAAAATTTCTCTAATGATAATTCCTAAAGAAAGTTTGTTTTGCATTTTGGCTCAAAAAACACCAATTCTTGAAATAAGTACTTTGGTTTAATTAGTGTCCGGAATTTTTTTGTTTTCGAAATGTTATTCCTACGAAAAATTTTGCAACCTTCAAAAATTTTAGTATCGTTGAAAAAAAAACACCTTTTTTCATGTGAAGGTCTTCTCAGTGTTTTGTTTCTTCTGAACTCTAAGAAAGATATTTTTGAAATAAAAAAAACATGCATCCCAAGTTGAACCTAGTTTTCATGAAAACAAAATTGAAACTAAAAAAAATGCACTATAAAATTTTGCGATCCTCATATCTCTTTAAAGGAAGTATTTGAGAATTTTGAATCTATGATAACTTTTGTTCTACTACCTCTCGAGATCTATCTTCTTTGAAAATTTTATATTCGTCGAGTTTTTGTTTTTTTTTGACGTGAATAAAAAAATTTTTATTTATAATTTTAGCCACTTATAAATGATGATTATGTTGCTTATGTACGTTATCTTGTTTGTCAATATCGTGGACAAAAATATATGGATCAATTATCTGATTTAGTTCGTATATCACATTTAAAATTTCGTACACGTCATTCATCTGATACTCAAACATTAACAATTAATCTTCAATCACCAATATCACCATTTCAAACAACAACCGGTTTATATAATGTACCAACAATTGAACTTGATCAAAAACAAACACTTGAAAAACTTAATATACTTTTTCGTTTTTATTCATTACCGTTAGATACATCAAAAATTCGTACATCTGGTGATGAAATGGAATTATATGCAAATATAATTCGACATTATCGAACAATATTTTCCGAACAAGAAAAATGTCGACCAATTATTCTATATGAATCAGCTAAACCAAAAGTAATTGCTCAAGCACGACAATCATCTAATTATGAATTAATAAAAAAATCTTCATGGATTAATTTTATTACAATGAAACCTGAACGTGATTCACAACGTGAACGAGATTATTGGAAATATGTTAAAGGTGGAAAAAATGATGAATTATTAATGAGAATAGTAGAATTTATACATGTTAGAAATGCTGATAAAGCAGCTAGTATACTTAAACAATATTTACTTGCTGTTAAAGTTAAAAAAAGTACAGCATTAAAACAAATTTTAGATAATTCAACAACAAATTCAACTCAAGCAATAGCTATGGCTGATATTTTTTGGAAAAATATTTTTGATATTAATTCAACAAGTGGAACAAATTCTGCAGATGATCCAGATAACGATAATAGTGATAATGATGAATTACAAGGTATGAATTCATAAGACATTTTCTTTTTTCTAATCATATCTTTAATTGTGATTAATTTATCTAGAATCTAAGTTTATATAAGAAAGAATACAAGGGAACATTTCAAAATGTGATTCATCAATCGAACTGACTCTCATGCGTTTATCTTTGCTAAGTTATTACAATATGACTGATTTTTTTTCATCTCAGACTAAATATTCATAAAACAATGGAATTGAGAAATTTCATCTATAGGTAATTATAGTGCCTGGAAAATTTATCAGTGTTTTCAACATTCTATATGACAGTAACAACACATCCTCTTAGATCGAAACTTTATAGAATATTCAAAAATTCATGAGATCTGCCTATAAGTGAAATTTCGTACTACAATTATTTCACCAATAATCTATTAGAAATAAAAATTCAATAAAATTGTAATAACTTAGCAAGGACTAGGCACGCACCGAGCCCGAACTTCCAGGGTTCGGTCATTCCCGGTACCTAAAACATTAGATTTAGTGATTCATGTACTTTGGTCTGCATTAGACATTCTTAGCAGTCAGGTATGACCGAACTCCGGGAATACCGAGCCCGGGATTCCCCGTCTGTACCTGGGTTCGGTGCATGCCTAGCATGGACAGTACATAGAGACAAACTTTTATAGACCTCTATTAGTCTCATTGGAACCTTCTTATTGGCATGTCACATTTGGAGGTTTTCTCTCGTTAAACTTCTGATTAATAAAAACAAACTATTATTGAAAGTTGTTATAGCCTATTCTAGCTGCTCTTTACCAAACTAAAACATATTTCGAACTATCATTTTTACATCTAATACATTTTGAAGATAAACTAATTGAGTCTAATCAGAGAAGAGATTCGTCAAAGGCAATCAGGTACTCTTATTCATATTTATGCGCTTCGAACATTGTTTTTTTTGCTTGAAATTGTTCCTTCGATGTTCTTCGAAAACGTGTCGAACTATGCTTTATTCGATATTTACTACTAGTTTACTGATATCTCTTGAATTGATCATCTTAAAAAGAATTAAGTGTTAAAGGAGAAAAATTAATAATGTTCAAGATAAAATTAAGATCAATAAAAATATTAAATGAGTGTAAAATAAAAGCAAGAATATATCCCCCGGTCATGAAAAACCGAAAGGCTTGTTTCTTTGATTTCTCTATGATGGAACATCTTTTAGGTCCCATATTTATACCATAGATAGACCTTGTGTTACTCTATCTGCTGGCAAAATTTCAGCCATATACATCGAGCATTGGCTGAGAAAACGAAAAATCAATCTTACACACTCATATGCAGTTGCGCCAAACACTTGTAACTATGCTTATGTTTTTGATATTTCTTGTTTGATTCTGACTTAGTAAGTATTGATTAGTTATCTTCTAATCATCATTTACGAATGGTGACATCTTAAGATGTCACCATTCGTAAATGATGATTAGAAGATAACTAATCAATACTTACTAAGTCAGAATCAA